TTCTTCAATATCATTTTTGTTTTTTGTTTGTTTTTTGCTTTGTTCATAAAGGTTTTTGTTTCTGTTACATTGTGTAGTTTTGTACCAATGGCTAGAAGCAGATCGTCATGGCAAGAGCCAAGATGCCACAAATACGACTTCAGGTAACAGTAGCTTAAAAATGAATGGGGTGCTAGAAATCATTAATTTTAATTTACCCCATGTCCTATTGTGAATGTTTCTTAAATCTCTTAGACAAAATTATAGGTGATATTTGTATTTTGTTCTCTCATCTCCATCTTAATTTTCATAAAGACTTCACTTTACTTCAAACCTTGAAAAAATATATTTACTAATCTAAGCTGCCTTGGCATGTAGTTTCTATTTCTTTAGGAAGAGAGGCCTAATTAAAGCTTAAATTTATTATATTACTTTGCAATATTATTTGAAATTAGGCCTGTATATAGTTATAGTAAAGATACTTATATTGTAACTATGTTTTGGCAATGATATAAATATAACATAGGGTCCTTACAAGTATATAAATACTTGAAGAAATTTATAGTCCTTATTTGTTTCAGGACTATAGTTAAAAGATGAATTTTAATTTAAGGGTGTTTACATGTGATTTCTATTTTATGTGAATCCAAAAATCTCAAGCCTAATCATTTTTTCTGCTTATAAATTCTAAACTAGTGGCATATAAAATATGCATTCAACATGAAAGGAGTAGGTTGTTCTCCCAGCTCCCAGGTCCCTAAGGTCCCTATAACTCTTTTTTTTTTCTCCCACTGATGTTAGTAAGATAGAATAACTGCATTTACTCATTTCTGAATCCTTACTAGTAATGCCAGATTCTATCTTAATTTCTTTCAAAATATTATTTGCCAAGACAGCTGTGCATCCAGCAGTGATCTTTCTTGTTGCTATTCTTTTTTTTCACACAATATTAAGAGAAACTGGTGCTGGTGGTGCTGGTAGTTGTGGTGGTGGTGGAGGTGTTACAGAGATAGTAGTAGAGATCTTAGTAACGGTGCAGGTGATGGTGGGGGTTGGTGGAAGGTGGTGGTGGTGGAGGTGATGGTGGGGGTTGGTGGAAGGTGATGGTGGGGGTGGAGGAGGTGGCAGGGGTGGAGGAGGTGGTGGGGGTGGTGGTGGTGGAGGTGGTGGAGGTGGTGGTGGTGGAGGTGATGGTGGTGGTGGTGGAGGTGATGGTGGGGGTGGTGGAGGTGATGGTGGTGGAGGTGATGGTGGGGGTGGTGGAGGAGGTGGCGGGGGTGGAGGAGGTGGTGGGGTGGAGGAGGTGGTGGTGGTGTTTGTAGTGTTTGTAGAGAATAAATGTTACTGTTTTATGTGTTTTGTGTCTTTGTGAAATTCTTTATGGGGATAAATTGGTTGTGCCTTGAGAAGGTTGGTGGTTGCACAGACAGCAGAACAGTTATATTAAAAATAACACTATTGGCTGCTGGGTGTGGTGGCACACACCTTCAATACCAGCACTTGGGAGGCAGAGGCAGGCGGATCTCTGAGTTTCAGGCCATCCAGGTCTGAGATCTATGAGAGTCAGGGCTGTTACACAGAGAAACTCTGGGTCAAAAACAAAAAAGAAAAGAAAAAGAAAGAAAAGCTGTTATGACTTCATTTATTTATCTTCTGCCCCATTTATAACTTGATGTCTGAATGAAGATGTTACTATTTTAGCCTTGCACAGGCAGAAGTTCATTAAAAGGTAAGTATTACAAGTAGCTATATCCTGGGTTATGTTCTGTTTCTGTGGTATTTTACATTTTACTTATCGTTATGGATAAAAGCAGACATTTGACTGATTGTTTTTTGATACAAGGTCTGCCTGTTTTGTCCTGACCTGGAGCTCACAGAGCTTTGCCTGCCTCTGCCTCCCAAGTGCTGGAATTAAAGTGTGTACTAGTGTGCTCAGCTGAGTAACATGGATTTTTAGAACCAGAGGACCTTTTTCTTGTCTATTTACTTATTTATAAACCTAAAGTGATGTGAAATCTACTGTTTTTTAAACCAAGAAAATATTTAAAATATCTTACTATGGTGTAGGAGTTCTTTCTGTATTTGTGTTGTTTTCATTGGTTATTAAAGAAACTGCCTTTGCCTAGTTGATAGGGTAGAACTCGGGTAGGTGGGGAGACTGAACAGAATTCTGGGAGGAAGAAAGCAGAGACAGGCAGACGCCATAAATCTCCGGCCTGAGATAGATTAGAATAGAATCTAATTCTATTCTAGGTTAGAATCTTGCTGGTAAGCCACAGTCACATGGTGATACACAGATTTAATAGAAATGGGTTAAATCAAGATGTAAGAGTTAGCTAGTAAGAGGCTAGGGCTAATGGGCCAGACAGTAATTTATTTTTTTTTAAATATTTATTTATTTATTATGTATACAATATTCTGTGTGTATGTCTGCAGACCAGAAGAGGGCACCAGATCTCATTACAGATGGTTGTGAGCCACCATGTGGTTGCTGGGAATTGAACTCAGGAACTTTGGAAGAGCAGGCAATGCTCTTAACCACTGAGCCATCTCTCCAGCCCCCCAGACAGTAATTTAATTAATACAGTTTCTGTGTGGTTATTTCGGGGGTTAAGCTAGCTGGGATGCAGCCCGCTTCTTCTACTACATTACTGTTCACACAAACATCTAGTATCAGCTTAAGAACATCATTTAATCCAGAAGTCAACAATTTTAAATCCTGAATCCTGTGTTCCTCATTCACATTGACTCACGGACAGGTTAACATTTATCTCAACTTTTGGTCATGAGGTAACCTAGGAGTAAGGCATACAAATTGATAAATTTCTTAAAGCATTTATTTATTTGTCTGTCTGTTTATTTATTGAGAAAGAACTCAACTCTGTAGCCTAGGCTGGCCTGGAATTCACTATGTAGCCCAAGTTGGCCAATGATTCACAGTGATCTTCATGCCTCTGCCTCTCAACTAACTACTGGAATTATAGGCTTGAAAAATCACACCGACTTTTGGCGTGCCTTTAGCAGTTTCTCTCCTGGAAGTAGAAGCTCTCAACTCTTAGAATATGGAACTGCATACTAGAACCATACAGGAGAATCCAAAGAAAATGACCTTTGTTAAGGTCTTCAATTAGAAGCCATACTTCAGTTGTTTTCAGTAAATACATTTAAATTATGTGCTTTATTCATAAAAGTTCCTATATATTTAATATTGTTTCCAACAAGGTATTAGTGTGTAACATTTCCCTTATGTGAGTTTTTAAAACTTACACAACTCAAGGCTGTTTTAGTATCTTTTCATATTTTTATCCCAAGTGGAAACTGAGTCAAGTCTTAAAAAGACGTTAGTGCCACTTCTAAATCTGACTGCTTTGTGATTCTTCTAACTGTGCAAATACTGGTAAATTACATTTATATCTTTCTAAAATTGTAGTTTGTACTTAATTAGAACTAAAAAGTAGAAAGCATCCGGGTCTTTAATCCCAGCACTCAGGAGGCAGAGACAGATAGATACCAGGACAGCTAGAGCAGGTAATGGTCTCAAAAAGACCAAAGAAAAGAAAGGAAAACACAGGAAATGGTGAAATTCCTTTGAGGTCCTCTAATCCCTTGATACTAACTTTTTGACATTGAGTATTTAAGATCCATCTGAATCGAGCTATTTTATGAAACTAAGCTATTTGGGGGTAACAGTCTTATGGAGATGACAAACAAGTCTGATTACTCTCACTGATTTTTTTCTGGGGGAGGTGGTTCAAGGCAGGGTTTCTCTATGAAATCCAGGCAATCCTGGAACTTAGTCTGTAGACCAAGCTGGCCTTGAATTTAGAGAGTCACATGCCTCTGCCTTTCAAGTACTGGGATTAAAGATGTGTACCACCCCTATGTAGCATAGAGTTTTATTTTCTACTGTTACCTTTCTAGAAATTGGCAGATGACAACTTGGGTATAGAATTACTTATTTCTTTAAAAAGTTAATGTATTTAATGTATTTTATCCATTAGACAGCCCAGCAATGATGTTTCTGGTTTTGCTGATTTGGTCACTGAAAGCCTGTATGTAAAACCCTGTCTGTCAGACCCTTGTGTGGCAACTTAAACAAAATCGTCTACTCTGCACTGCAACATTGGGTTTGTGTATAAAGCTTCACTATCATAACCATCAGTTTAAGTCAAGTTTAATCAAGATTTCTTCAGTGAAGTGTTTCTGTATACATTTTTATCATCTTGTGTTGAAATGAGTATAATAATTACATGCACCAATACTATTAGCATATTTTGATTTTTAGTGTTAAATATAGATGAGATTTTAAAATTTAGATTCTAGTCCAGGTGGTGGCGGCGCATGCCTTTAATTCCAGCACTTGGGAAGCAAAGGCAGGTGGATCTCAGTGAGTTCAAGACCAGCCTGGTCTACAAAGTGAGTTCCAGGACAGCCAAAGCTACACAGAGAAACTGTCTCAAAAAAAAAAAAAAAAAAAAAACCAAAACAAGCAAACAAAAAATTCTAATTCTAAAGTTTTTTTAAGTACAGGTTTCTTTTTCTTTGTCTTTTATTTTTTAAATTTTTATTTACTATTTCTTTTTTGAGTTTTTAAGACTAAGTCTTTCAATGTAACCTTGAGTAGCCTGGGATTTTCACTATCTAGAATTTACAGAGATCCACCTGCTGCCTCTGCCTCCTGAGTGCAGACTTTTTATTTATAGTTCCTCAGTTGACAATAGTTTTCAAATTAGGTTATTAAGTATAATCAATAAATGTTTTTAAAAATATGCATGTATATTAGCCAGGCACGGTATCACATACCTTTAATCCCAGCACTGAGCAGAGGCAGGGAGACTTCTGAGTTTGAGGCCATCCTGCTCTATAGAGCAAGTTTTGGGACAGTCAGGGCTATACAGAGAAACTCTGTCTCAAAAAAAAATTTTATACATATAGGAAATATTTTTTAAATTATTTTGTTTTTTAAGTTCCATTTATTCATTGATTATTAATTATTTGTTGTAGGTGAAAATTTTGACCAGAGTCCTTTGAGAAGAACGTTCAAATCGAAAGTTCTGGCCCACTATCCTCAGAGCATAGAATGGAACCCTTTTGATCAAGATGCAGTGAACATGGTATAGTTTTTTTTTCTTTTTCTCTCCTATTTGTTTAGCATTCTTTTTATTTTATTAGAATATAAATGATAAACGTCTTATTTAAATGTCTGTATTATATAATACAATTAATCCTTTAAATTCTGTGATAATAGTATTTTTAAGATTTTATTTTTTAATGTACATGTCTACTTTTTGTGTGCTTCATGTGTATGAGTGTCCACAGAGGTCAGACAAGGGCATCACACATACATGTGTATGAGGAGTATCCACAGAGGCCAGACGAGGGCATCACAC